AACCTTTCTTTATGCAATAGTAAAGAAACAAGTCCTTTAACTTACTGGCTACAAAGCTATCTTTATACAGTAAACCATATAAATACCAAAAAATATATAAATAAATAAAACCTCTTATGCAACAAATACCCCTCAAAAAGTGACAGATTCTTCATTAGGTTTCAAGCTCCTTTTCATTCACTTCCATGACATTTTGATATTTACAGATGAATCTGACCCCTGCGTTTATTATAAATGACAGCAATACTAAAATAAAAGGAAGCAGATATTCTGGTGACTTCATCTATTTCTTTCTTTCTTTCTTTTGAGACGGAATTTCACTCTTGTTGCCCAGGCTGGAGTGCCATAGAGCAATCTCAGCTCACCGCAACCTCCACCTCCCGGGTTCAAGCAATTCTCCTGCCTCAGTCGCCCAAGTAGCTGAGATTACAGGTGACTGCCACCACACCCAGCCAGTTTTTTTTGCACTTTTAGTAGAGATGAGGTTTCACCATGTTGGCCAGGCTGGTCTTAAACTCCTGACCTCAGGTGATCCACCTGCCTCTAAATTCTGATCCACTGCCATCAAATAAGCCAATTATGAAAAATCAGAATACCTGCAGAGCAAACCCATATCTTTTGTTAAAAGCAGACAAGTACCAGCATCTTAAGGAAGAACCTTTTATGTGTTTACACTACCTCTATTAGAAAGTTTCTTTTTAAACTTCACTTTTTTTTTTTTTGAGATGGAGTCTCATTCTGATGCCCAGGCTGGAGTACAGTGGTACGATCTCGGCTCACTGCAACTTCCGCCTCCCAGGTTCAAGCGATTCTCCCGCCTCAGACTCCCAAGTAGCTGGGACTACAGGCACATCCCACCATGTCCAGCTAATTTTTTGTATTTTTAGTAGAGATGAGGTTTCACCATGTTAGCTAGGATGGTCTTGATCTCATGACCTCATGATCTGCCTGCCTTGGCCTCCCAAAGTGCTGGGATAACAGGCGTGAGCCACCATGCCCAGCCACAAAATATTGTTTTTTAATAAACAAAATTGTCTAATTTTTTACACTGAAAATTTATGTCCAAATAGTTTATAAGAACAGTTAAAAAATTTTTTCCTTTTTAAATTTTTAATCACAATTGCTGTACAAAATGATTCATTATCTGTTTAAACTCACAAATAAAGATTTATTTCTGTTCATTTTAATTTAAATTGCTATTTATTACAAGTGCTTAAAATGTGAAATGAAAGCCTCTTTTCTAGACAAATGATTCACATTTCATATTTCTTCACTTGAAAGGATGCTTTAAAACATTGCCTGCCCTGAAGGAATATACTTAAAATATTCCTTTCATAATTCTTCATTCTCAAAAATTAAGCTATTATTGATAAGGATATCAAAGTTGACAAGACTATGTCAGATGTCAAAAAATTACTGGCTTATTCTTTTAAATCTATTAACTCCAAAGGTCTACCTCCATAAAAAAATCACAGTTCCTAATTTTAATCTTTGCTTCTTCTCAATCACAATAGTGTATACCACATACAATTATTCCATTTGCATTGGTTAGGGAAGGGAAATTGGGATGGAAATGAATGAAATATTAATTAACAAACAGTATACTAAATACTAGATCTCATGTGAAATCTTGGGAAGATTTTTATTTTCATCGAAATCTTAATTTACCGTTCACTTTCATGTTAATCTGTTTATCTCCTTAAGAAGTGGGTTTGTGTCAAATAATCATTCCTTTTGGCACTGCTTTCTCTCTTATGAAACAGTAACCTGATTTATACTGTTCTGCCTGGTTAATGCATGCATCCTCTCTGGACCCCTGCCGACAACAAGGTAGAGGGAAAGGAAGTAGTTCACCTATATAATGATTTAAGTCTTCTGCAGGAAAAATGTTCTGTGCCTCTTTAGTCTTTCAAGATGATCAGAGGACACAGTACTATAGATTTGGTGTAACCTTCCCCGTTTCTGAAAGACAGTTAACACAATTCAGTCTTTCAAACATATGTTGCCTACTCTGCACCAGACACTGCATACTAGGGAAGAATATAAAGGTCTGAGATATGGTGTCTGCAGTCCCCAAGGACATTTACAAATAACATGCAGCAGGAAATTACAAGTATTCCAAGAGCTTTGAGTGCAGGAATGATTACATCTAGCTACAAATGGAGCTGAAAGGAAGAGAAGAGTTCAGTGATAACTTCATAAAGGATTCCAAACACAGGACAGGGGAGGGACACTTGGCAAGGGGAAAGTAGGGAAAGAAGAAATGCGTGCCTCAGAATATAACTTCTCTAGGGCACAGAGCATACCGCAGAAAAGGCTTTGACTTTAGTCAAGATACTTATCATCAAACATTTTAAACCTAATGCACTAATGTTTCACCTCTGAAATTAATCAGTCTAACAACAATAAATCAGTGTACAAGCAATTGAAGTAAAATTACTACCAAAGGGCACTGGAAAACAACACACGCACACACGCCACACAGAAATAGAAAATCTCTGTTTGTTCCTTCATCACAGTGAGGTGTGGAAGGAATGTTAATTTAAACTACATCTTCATCAATTTACAACTATCACAGATTCCTTTTAGACCATCAGTGTAATGCTACAGGATGATTCTCTGGCATTTTGCTCTAAAACCCACAAATGAGACGATAATGCGACCAGCTGCAGCTCCCTTCCTGAATGCAGCAGCTCTGGGTGTCCACACACTTGCAGCTCTGTACAACTTCACACAAAAGCCTGGCAATTGGCCAAGAAGACTCCATCACAGCGTATACTCCCCAAGGTTGAAGGTTTTCCATTTAATTCCAATTCCGCCATGAAACGACATATACTTTCGCAGACTATAGCTATATAAAACCAATTCAATTCCCATTTCTAGTCAATAAAATATGCCCCTAAAATACAATATATAAAGACATTAAAAATATATAATCTTCATTTTTAAGGGCCTTGAATGTAATTCCACGCCATCAAGGTAATTCTTAAAATTTTCTTAAAGAGTTAGTTTCCTCAGAATCTTATCAACATCAAGAAAACAACAGCAACTTGTTATAGCATACAGCGATTTAATTGTATTTCCAAAGTACCCCATTAAGCAATTCATTCACATTGCTAATTGAAAATCAAGAATGAATGTTCTCAATATCTGGTACTATAGGTTGACGTGACCCATGACAATGTGAGACAGATACTTCAAGAATGATGTTAATCTCTGTTGTCTAAAGCAGAAATACAAACACACAGAAACACAGTTCTGCAAATTAGGTAGCCACATCACTCTAGTATGTAAGTTTCCAGAGGGAAAGGGGGAAAAAAAAACCTGAAGGAAAGGGGAATGCAAACACTTTAACTGCCTGGCTAATGCTTAACTTTGGTAGGAGTGTTTCACAACAGCAAATAACAATAAACTGAGCACTAATTCTTGTGTGAAAATCTTGGGAAGATTTTCATTTTTACTGAAATCTTCACCTGCCTCTAGTTTCTCTCTCTCCAGGTCTGGACACCTTCCACACAAAGGATCACTAAATACAGTACTGATCTGAATGTTCTTAAGTACCCTTAAGATAGTCTATTCAATAGCCAAAATTTAATGGTGTTGAACCTGTAAAAATGTAAAAGACCTGGCAAACCACTGACTCTTCTTCCTTTCGATGGGCACCTTCCTATGATACGGTTATTGACTAAAGGCAATGTATAAAGGATTCTCACACCACTTCAGTAGAAAGTGAATTAAAAGTGTTATCTGGAGTTATCTAAATCCACATCTCTACCCAGTAATGCCTTCATGTAACATTCAAGGGCTGTCTGGCAATAAAAAATATCTCCAAAGTGATCCTTTAAATGGCTTATCCCCACCCCCCACCTTTAATGTCAACAACCTTTTGAATCACGGGCAAACTGATTAAAACAAGAATTATTCATTGTAATTTACTAGTCACAGAAAGAAATCTGCTTCATTCCAAAGTTGAAACTGCAAAATACTTTGAGCATATGGATATGGATCACTAAGCATCACTTACAATCTAAATAACCTAGTTCTGAGTAGTCCCCAAAACAGATAACTACTTTATTATCATTTATATGAAATAGACGTGAACATTATATTACAAAGAGAACAGGACCTGTTGCCAAACTCTTTTTAAAGGATGAGATACTTAAAAAAAATAATAAAAGCACCAGGCACGGTGGCTCATGCCTATAATCCCAGCATTTTGGGAGACCGAGGCGGGTGGATCATCTCAGATCAGGAGTTCAAGACCAGCCTGACCAACAGGGAGAAACCCTGTCTCTACTGAAAATACAAAAATTAGCTGGGCGTGGTGGCGCATGCCTATAATCCCAGCTACTCGGGAAGCTGAGGAAGGAGAATCGCTTGAACCCGGGAGGCAGAGGTTGCAGTGAGCTGAGATTGCGCCACTGCACTCCAACCTGGGCAACAAGAACAAAATGCTGTCTCAAAAAAAAAGCCTGTAAAGCTACATACCAAATTCTTGACATTCACCTTTGGAGAAGCAGAAGAGGAGAGTGGAACTACACTGGGGGAAGGGAGACTGTCAGAACAATTTTTTTTTAAATAAAGCAGTTAAAATTTGTAAGATTATATGACAAAAATGTTAACTGGACAGGGGACAGTAGGAACATGGGTTTGTTCAGTTCTTTTGAACATGGGTTACCACATTATTCTTCAATCTAAAATAACACAAGAAAAAGAAATTACAATGAACAACAATAAATGGATATATTTCCCTGAAGCTAAGATGGATGAGGAACAGGAGGTGGGAAAAAAGAGGAGAACCAGAAGTTGAAAGGAATAACGCAAAGTGAAATCTGAATGAATAAAGACAGGCGTTCCTGATGGCTCCAGTTCTCCATGAATCCTGATAGGACTTAAAGGAGGTAATGGCAATAGTAACTTGCTTAGAGACTGGGGAAGGGAGGAGAGCACACTTGCACACACATATTAAGAAATACTGCTTCCAGAAAATGTTAACTTACCAGTATGTACTGTAGCTACTGCAATCCATACATACTGTGTGCTGAGCTTTATCCTGCTTTTCTGATTTCTTATGGTTGGTTAAGGGTACTTGTGCATCTTCATAATGTTTTTTTGCATGGCCATTCACATACCTTACAAAAGCCAAACAAAAATTTACTTTAAATATTGCTTTGGGAATTAGAGTAAGAGATAATAAAATTAAATGTTAATCAAATAAAAATAAGAAAGAAATCCTATAACAGCAGTCAATCATGTAGTGACTTATTAAATTGAATACTTAAAATACGCTCCTTTTTGTGCAACCAAATACTAGAGTCAACTTTTAAAGAGTAGGCACAGGCAAGGAAAGGCATAATCTATGCAAATCGGTTTCAATACCATAGATATTATTTATAAACTCCTTTGCTGCTGCTTTCACTATAACTGTTTTTTTTCTCTCTGACCACTAACCCCCAACTCGGGCTATTATCAAAGACAACAAAATTACTCAGCCACTTCCCACAGGGTTGTAGGCTCTGCTCAGGTTGCTACTTAACAGAAAATGTGAGAGTCAGAGATACAGGGCAATGTTGGTCTCTCATCAACATGGTTTCCAGTCTTTTATTTGAATGCCTAAGTAATCAGCTCCACTCATATGGAAAAACGTTTGTTTAGAGATAATCCAAACAAAACAAAAATCGCCTTAAGCTTATAAAAACTGCTATTTCTCTACATGGACAAAGATAATCAAAAATTGATTATGTTCCTAAAAATTCTGTAACATATTCCAACTCAGATTTAATAAATCATTGTATTACAGCAAGCACAATGAAACTGAAATAAGGCTCCATATGCACATGGTGTACATCAAAATTCATCTACACCTTCATCTAGAGACTGCACAATTCTGTCACTGACCACCAATGTGAAGACCCTTAAGACGGAACATTTCCCAGTTCCTGGAAAGCAGCCAATTTATAGAAGGCAAGGCCTACGTGAAAACTCAGTCAAAACAAATGTTGTTTAAATGGTTCCAAAATAAACAGATGCAGAGTTAGATGACATTTTCATCATGAGGCACCTCAACTGCACCAGGAACAACACTTACCTTGGGGAAAGTAGGATAGTTATGGTAAGTGGGAAAGATCAATTTCAAATCTAGCCTCTCTACCCAGGAAAACTGGGCACATTCAAAGCACTATTAACCTCCACTCGGAATGTGATCACGTTCTTTCTCCATTTTTTCACTGTACTTTACACTTTTGCATATACCTGAGTCCTCTGTCCACAAAACTGTACTATAATGAATTTTAGAGTCAACTAATGATTAAGAGGATACGCTCGAACACTAGACTACCTGGGTTCAAAGGTGGAATTTATCACATCCTGGCCATGAGAGCTTAGATGAATTATTCAACCTCTCTGTGCTTGTTTTCTCATTTATAAAATGGACATAATAGTACTTTGTGTTTCGTGGGTTGTTAGGTGATTAGATAATCCATAGTTCATAACAGATGAATGTTGGCAATTATTTTATTAGCATTCTTATTTCTATGCTTAACTACTACTTAGTCAGAATCCAAACAATTGCTTAGGAAGTGGGCACATTTAGCACATATTTCAAGATAACATGTAACTGTATAGGTCAAGAAACACTATTTAACAAAAGGTAAGGCCAGGCACAGTGGCTCATGCCTGTAATCTCAGTACTTTGGGAGGCGAAGGCAGGCAGATCACTTGAGGTCAGGAGTTCAAGACCAGCCTGGCTAACATGGCAAAACCCTGTCTCTACTAAAAATACAAAAATTAGCCAGGTGTGGGGGCGCGTGTCTATAATCCTGCTCCTCGGAGGCTGAGGCACAGGAATCACTTGAACCCAGGAGGCTTCCAGTGAAGGTTGCAGTGAGCTGAGATCACCCCACTGTACTCCAACCTACGCAACAGAGCAAGACTTTGTCCAAAAAATAAATAAGTAAATAAATATAAATAAAAGGTAAACTCTAAGACATCATATAGGTTCAATACCTAATCATCTTAATTGCCTATTCTTATCATATATATATATATATATATATATATATATATAGTACTCGACCATGAAAAATAACAGTAATTCATTGCTATAGTAATAATACTAAACGACTACATTACCACCTGCAAATTTTTGAGAACTCAACATCTTTACATAGTACATACAGTTCAGTTAACTACAACACTGTAGTTTCCAAATGTACTAGATGTTTAAATAGTTCCAGTACATATCAGAGATAAAGTAAGAAGTATGATTACTGATGATATTAAGATTAGCAATGTTTTGCCTAATGCCCAAATACATTATTATTCAAAGAGGTTCACAGTTTTGTATACACTAGCTAATACGAAATTATATATTTCCCTCATCTAGTTTTGGATTTTAACTAGACATTTTGGTCTACAGCACAAGAGGAAAAATTTTACTACATGTCACAAATTTCTAACAACAATCACAAAAATTTGAAAAATAACTTAAATGGGATGAGGTCATGAAGACCAACAGAACTTATAACTCATATATGCTACTGATAAACTATATTTCCTAATGGGAAGAATATTCACTTTATGACTTCCCTAAAGACAAGCAGTCTAAAATTACCAAAAAAAATCAATAAATTTGGCAATTGACACCTGGGATCACATGATAAAAGAATATTAACCAATCAGCTTCATAAAATGGAGATCCAAACTCAGGCTACTCTGAATTTTCTGTTTAATCTACTTAATCACATTTCTCCAAAACTATGTCAAACTTCTAAATTTAAGCTTGTTTGCAATTGGAAACAGTCCACCTGCAGAGTCAAGAAATTTTTCAATTTATTTTTCCAAAACCTACTTTAGTTTGTTGTTTGCTTTAAGAATGTTAATCTCTAATCTTTGAGTTTGTCAGGTCTTTTGATTGGCACATGACCATCAAGATTTAGGTTGTAGAGCACTATGAGACATCTGGAGAACAGAACTACATAAATTTTATTGGATTATAATTCTCACCTCTCAAAATCTAGGAGAGGAATCTGTCTCTTCAAGTGCAGAATTTAAGTGCTTCTACTTTTCTTCTTTTTTTAAAAAAAGTTATCTGTACAAAGTATTTTCAGGTTCCCCAAATCCTAGAGATTTCAAAACCACAACAGCCACAATTAAGAAATGCAGTTAACATTTTCCAAAAGTACGCTTAAGTGCACATGGAAAAAATACTCAATTCCAAGGTTCAAAATGTGAAAAATCAAAACTTGACTGAACAAAGAAAGATGCTCTCTTTATGCAAGGAGGATTTAAAATAACGAAGGGGAAATATTCCAGGTAAACACAATATAGATGTCAGCCTATGGGACTCAGTATTATTTCTCATTTCCTTACTGCTCAGCTATTAATTTCCAAAGTAAATTCAAAGTAGATTTTCTAAGCTGGAAGAGCAGTATAAATAAATGTGCTGCTATCAGGCAAAAAACCACAGGCAATATTTACTTGAGTTTGTGCTAGGAGAGTTGCTATTTAAATAACATTATTTTGAGGCCAAGAACTGGGAAGAAACAGTCAGGTTTACACAGGGTTGGGTGAGGTAGAAGATGTCCATAGAAAGTAGTGTTTTAATGGAACAATGAAACATTTGGTATATCTTAGACAGGAATTAATAATGAAAACTCCACAATGAGATCATTTTCAAAAGGTATTCCTTTATCTGTAAGTATTTTCAGTGTTTTTTTTCCTTCCCAGAAGAATGATATCATACCTGGGATTTGATTCAAAAGTCAGAGGTGGGGACAGGGTAGGTAATAGGTGAAAAAGATTGGCCACGTGTTGATAATTGTTGATGCTGGGTGAATGGAACATGCAGTTCAATTATATATACTATCTCTATGTTTGTATGTGCTTAAATTTTACCCTAATAAAAGGTTTAAAAAACAACCATTAGGTAAATTGTACTTCAAGAATTCCCTTAGCTCATATTTCCACTCAAATGTTACTAGCAGATTGTCTTGGTCATCAAACTTATTCTTCTGAGTATCAACACGAATTTTTTCTCCCCTAGTATCACAGAACAAAGGGATTCAATTGGAGAAGTCCTACAGAGCATTATGCATTGTGATTAACAATGGTACTAAATCCAAATCAATACAACTCCGACATAAAGCTTAAACACAAATTTTAAAAAGCAAACAGGGCAGTGAAGTAGTAAGTATGTCACTTACCTTCCACAGTGGACACTTGAACAAGTCAAACAGACCCAAGGGCTTTTGTTGGACCGGCACACTAATAAAAAGAAAAATATACAATATACCAGTTGTATCATGTTATTTCCCAATTTCTCCCCATTTTCCTGTGATTAAGTTTAAAATTCCATGGCTATGTAGGAGTGAAGTTGCAAATCCGTGCTTTGTGAATGCATTTGCACAAAATGGCCGCCTATTTAAGTTATATTGAAAAGAATTTAAATGCACGTCCACAACAGGGGCTCATTTTAATTGCTGACTCAAACAGCTTAACCACATTAAACACATATACGCTTGCCTCTTCTATTACTTATCCCCTTGCCAGTCTTCGACAAGCCTATTTTCGACAGCCTATTTTCCCATTAAAAACATTTTCTTAAAGTCTAGTCTTTTAATCACATGTCTTTGCCATGTAGGTCATACACCACTATAAATGACAACTCTTTCAGTTTATTTACTAAGAGGCACGACAGAAGGTTACAATTAGGAAGTCTAAGCCTAGTTTTCCCAAAGTAATTCTTAGTTGCATAAAATATATAACTGCACCTAATTCTTGCTGATGGTATAATCAAGACATTAATTATTTTAGTTTATGTATTACAGTGATGGGGCAGGCAAGAAGGGGTATGGAAACGAAATATCGAAATTAAAATTTTGCTTGCTGTCTACTCATTCATTTTTTAGTAAGTCCTAAATAAGTAACAATGATATTCAAAAGGGAGGGATATCAAAATTACCTGGAAAGCTTTTTGAAAACACCTATGTTCTACTCAAAGATATCTACATTGGGGTGGGGAAAGAAGTAAAAAGAATATGTATATTTTGTGAAAAGTAGCTTCCCAGGTGACTTCCTGATACAACCCCTAGAGAACTGCTAGTCAGCCTCCTAGAGGCATGGGAGGGGCACTTCCGCACAACCACACAGGATCATAACAACCACCTGGAATGTTGTAGGTGCTCAATAAACATCTGTGGAAGAGAAAGTTTAAATTTCTTAGTTTAGGATATCAATCTCTTCCAAGATCTGGTCTCTACCCACATTTGTCGTGCCTCATCCCATACCACAACAGGCCTTTCTCACTGTTAAAAAAAAAAAATAACCAAAACTGGAAAAAAGGTGAATGGAGAACTGTAAGCCATTTCAACATGTACTGAAACGCTGTTTAATAGCTCCTCCCAAAGATAGTTAATTATATTACCACGGACCTGTTTACTTATTGACTAGGACCCAAATTCTATGAAGTTACAGGTAATGTACGTTGTCCAGCAGCCTCCAAAAGTTACGGTTATACTATCCTACCCTGTAGGATATTAACCAATTTTGTATCTAGCTTAGCAATTTTATTTCAATGCTTTTTTCTTCACTGTCTATACACACTCAGTTCCCAGCTGCTCTTGGAGCCAGCTTTACCATCCTACTGGTTCCCTCATTCATGAGTTAAATAAATCTTTGACTATGTTCATCCTGTATTTGTATGAAGAGGGGACAGGGCGTGAGAACAGGTGAATACAGTGATATACCATCTGACAGACTCTATAGGTTGGCAAGCGGGGAACTTTAGTTTTCAATGTAAAAGCTTTGAGTGGTGAAATCCCCTTCTAGTTGCCAAAGGGCTTCCTTTTTCTTAGTGCATTCACATATTTACATTCACTATCAGGGTCATCCTTGAAGGCAATGAAGGCATTTTTTACTAAACTGGGTATAATTTTGTTACATGTATATGTAAAATGCATGAAAGGTGTGGAAGAGTACCTACCAAACTGTTAAAACGACTATTTCAGGCAGGTACTTGGAAGGCTATTGTGAGGCAGACTGCTGGCTTTTTATTTGTACTCCCCTATGATGTCTGCCTTACAGCAATGAGAATATGATGTTTCTACAGTTTGAAGAGAAAGCTCAATAAAATTTATTTTACAAAATAAAAAGCAAACTAGTACAAGCCTTACTTGAACAGCTATTCATGGTTTGAGGTATGATTTGGAGGACTGAGATATAATGAATATTAGTATTTTGTTTCTCCAGGAAAGCTTTTTTCTCTTAGTAAATATTAAGAAACACTGGGGCCAGGTGCATGGGCACATGCCTGCAGTCCCAATACTTTGGGAGGATGAGGCAAGCAGATTGCTTGAGTCCAGTAGTTCGAGACCAGCCTGGGTAAAATGGTGAAACCCCATCTCTACAAAAAATACAAAAATTGGCTAGGTGTGGTGGCACGTGCCTATAGTCCCAGCCACTTGGGAGGCTGAGGTGGGAGGATCAACTGAGCCCAGGAAGGTGAGCTGCAGTGAGCCATGATTGCACTACTGCACTCTAGTTTGGGTGACAGAGCAAACCGTGCCTCAAAAAAAAAAAAAAAGACGGACGGATGGATGGACAGAAGGACAGACAGACTGACCAACCGATGGACTGTAAATCTGGGAGAAAAAAAATTGTTATAGTTTAACATTATTCTGAAATAACTATGTTACAATAGTAAGTTTAGGCCCAAGGTCATATTTTTGTTTTCTTTTGAGAAAGGGTCTCTCACTCTGTTGCCCAGGCTGGAGTGCAGTGGCATCACAGCTCACTGCAACCTCCACTTCAGAGGCTCAATTGATCCTTCAACCTCTGCCTCCAGAGTAGCAGGGACTACAGGCATCTGTCACCATGCCTGGCTAATTTTCTGTTTTTCTTTTTTGGTAGAGACAGGGTCTCATTATGTGGCCCAGACTGGTCTTGAACCCTTAGCTCAAGCAATCCTCCATGCCTCAGCCTCCCAAAGTGCCCAGATTATAGGTATGAGCCTCTGTACCTGGCCTAGGCCCAAGTTTTTAACTACCCAGAGATATTTTTTTAATTATAGAGGATTTTGTTCCTCCTTTGTACAAGGATAAAGGAATCTAGAGTAGAATCCCTGTGACTCTGCTTTGAGTATGTTTCGTACCAAGTGTTCCTTTCTTCCTCACTTTAGGATTGTAAACCTACCCACAGTACACACAATTTAGTGATCTCCTTTTCCCCACTTAAGGTACATGAACACATATGTTCATGTTACTGCATTTAAAACAGTGTATTATAAAGCTAGTCTTTTTTTTTTTTTTTTGGAACAGAATCTTGCTCTGTCGCCCAGGCTGGAATGCAGTGGCGCGATCTCAGCTCACCGCAACCTCCGCCTCCTGGGTTCAAAAGATTCTCCTCTCTTAGCCTCCCAAGTAGCTGGGACTATAGGCGCATGCCACCATGACTGGTTAATTTTTTTTTTTTTTTTGTATTTTTAGTAGAGACAGGGTTTCACTGTGTTAGCTAGGATGGTCTCAATCCCCTGACCCTGTGATCCACCCACCTCAGCTTCCTGAAGTGCTGGGATTACAGGCATGAGCCACTGCACCTGGCCATAAAGCTAGTCTTATAATATCAATTATCTCACAAGGCTTTGTTAATTTTTTTTTAAATTTCTTACAAATTTTAAAAAACAAAAAAAAACTCTAACGCTGAGGGGGTCAAGAGAATGGGAAGTAACTGCTAAATTGATATATAGTTTATCTTGGGGTTATAAAAATGTTTTGGAACTAGATAGAGATGGTAGTTGCAAAACAACTGTGGATATACTAAATGCCACTGAATTTAGTTCACTTTAAGATGATTAATTTTATGAGAATTGTGCATCAATGAGACAGACAGATACGTAAGGATGCGAGAAAGTAAAAGGAAATAAAGTACTGACTTTCAAAATCATTGGAAACAAGTACTGTGGACTGTGCCTTTTAAAATATCTCAAAAAAAAAAAAAAAAAAAAAAAACCACTTTACTACCTGCCAAGTGTGGCAGTGACTGCATCTGTAATCCCAGCAACTTGGGAGGCTGAGGCAGAAGAATCACTCGAGCCTAGAGTCTGAGGACAGCCTGGGCAACATACAGTGCTCTCTGTGGGTGTACTGCAGTCACACCAGATAAACACTTGAAGCCTAGAAAGATACAGAGGATAGGGTATTGTGATTCTGAAGCCAATAAATGGCACTGCTTTGGGGAATATTCACTCTGTTTATACATGCTTCATCCAAATTAAGAACCTTTAATGTACCCAGGACAAATATAAAATAGAATGAAAAACACTGGCTTTAAATTAAACTCTCAATTATTGTTAAGAATAGAACAGAACTGTACAAATAAAAGAATACTACAGATAATCCGAAAACCATTTTTTAATCATCTTTAGGGGGACTATCTTATTATAAAAGGTAGTTTCAATTTATAGATAGATGAGATTCAAAAGTTTATCTATACGATAAACACATTTCCCATGGAAACAGTATTAAACGTTTCCAGGGTTGTCTCCAAAGCCCTAAATGACATAATATAGCTGAAATACTCATATACACACACATACTTATACATATGCTCACACAATAAAACCAGTCAATAAAAATATTTTTAGGCTCTGAATATAGTATCTATTCAGCAAAACACAAAAATATTAAACCAAAGTTTTTTCTTTTATTTTTTTAATCTTAAATGCTGGTACTTGAGAGAAAGGCTGATAAGGATAGACACTTGCGAAAGCTCAAAAAGTTAAATCTGGGAATTTATAACGGTTTTTAATACATCCAATTACACTTCAAGGTGATGTCACGGAAAAGGAAGCCATGTAATTTATTTCTTACATTGTTACACTTGGCCACAGCAGCGTGATTTGGAGTCTCTTAAGTGAAACTCATCTTTTACTCAGATTGTAAAATTTCCTCAAACCAAGATATCCTGTCCTTCAGCAAATTTCTCCAGTTTGTTTGGATTCTTTCACTCCTGACCAGTGTCTCAGCTCTCAGCCCAGAGGCTGGTACTAACTAGGCTCCTTTCACTGCCTCCTCTTCAGCTATGGCTTCAGAATCTTCCTCTGTCCCTGTTCTCACCTCAGCCACAAATTCTTCAAGTTGGCAGGAGGGCCCCCTTGTCTGGAGGAGATGAAGAAGCTCTATCCTCTCCTGAGCTAGAGCCATTCGCCAGAAGATAGAAGCTATCACATAGGCTGGGCCGTGGAGAGGGTGGGAAGAACCCCAGCCTCT